AGTTTTGATGCTCTAAATATAGTGCAAATGCTGTTTAAATAATTTGGTTATAGTTATCAAGTAGTATGCCTGTCCATAATTACTGCCCCTCTCTGTGTCCACTTAGAGGACCCACAACTGAAGATATGTCTTAACAGCTGTTGGTGATTACTAACATCTGCTAACAACATGGCTGGCATCTTAACTAGTGCTGAAGACCCATCCTCCGAAATATCATGTCTCAGAAGGATGCTGAGAAACTAGTCCACACATTTGTTATCCACATTGAGTCTGGTTCTAGAGGTTTCTCCATGTTAATGAGGGAGTTTTTCCTCCACAGTCGACAAAGTGCTGCTCATTGTGGCAACTGTTGGGTTTCTCTATATTAAATAAGATTTTAAGGTCTTGACCTTCTATGTAAAGTGCCTTGACATAATGTATATTATGATTTAAGAAAAGTATTGATAATTATGTGGTCATTAGCGTTGATATTGTGGCAGTCAATTTGAACAAATCAACGTTTAGATTGTCGGGAGCCAGGGACATCAGCTGAGTCTGTGTCGATTTGTGTGTGTCTCTCCCTGTGTCTGCCAGTCAGTGCAACAGAAAGAGAGCTTGAGAAAAGTGTGTGTGCGTGTGTGCACACTCACATGCATATGTAAGTGCACAATGTGATATCGTCCTTATCTTAAAAAGATTGATTATCTTTCCCTTAAGTTATGAGACTATCATACAGAAGCTGCACTATCCGGTTATAGTAATCAACCGCTTATAGTGATCAATTTGGCCTAGACAAACATGATCACTGTAAGCGGTTTCCACTTTATTTTTATTCAAGTAATAAAAACACAGCATGTTTAAGTCATACTTCATGTAAAAGATAGTTGTATAAATACTATAGAACAGCGCATGGAATTATAGGTGCAAACAACAATACCTGTAAACAATAATTGAGGCAGCTCAATCAGTATAAATTACATCAGCTAGCAGCAATGAGCAGGTTTCAGGCTTGAGGAAGCTGAAGAAAGTCACTTAAGCTTGTTTGTTTAAAGATCTTTTTACTTGTAAATGCAGACAAAACAGCTATTTGAACTCCCATCATGCACTAAGTACTTTTCTAGTCTTGATGACTACTCAAAGATCTTATTGAACCAATCGCCTTCACACACCTGACCATCACCTCCACACGTGACCAGGACAGCTGTGGCTGAGGGGTAGAGCGGCCATCCTCCAACCAGAAGGTTGGCAGTTTAATCCTAGACTTCCCCATTTGCATGCCGAAGTGTCCTTGGGCAAGATGCTGAACTCCGAATGGCCCCTCATGGGAAAGAAAAAAGGGCTGCAAATAGATGTACTGTATGAATGTGCTTGTGAATGGCAAACTGTACTGTAAAGCACTTTGAGTGGTCATCAAGACTAGAAAGGTGCTTTATAAATACAAACCAAACCATTTACAACCCAAAAGCATACTAACCCCGGACGCTGGCTGTCGCTGACTGAGGTACTGAAAAGTGATTTTTGAGCCCTTAATATAACTAAGGTTTGTTTATTAAAAGGACACATCAATGAAGGTATAGTTGTGTGTGTGTGTGTGTGTGTGTGTGTGTGTGTGTGTGTGTGTGTGTTGGGAGAACAATTTCCTTAGTGTTTAAAAATGTGTTTGACAACTTTCATATTTCTTCTAAATTTGGGCTTTTTCTGCATCGGGCAGCTGACTGGACGGCAAAATGAAGTACCATGTGGAAGCTATTAAACTGCTGCAGGGGGAGGGTACAGAAGGAGTGAAGGGGCGTATAAAGAGAGGGAGAACAGGAGACAGAGAAGGAAGTAGAGAGAGAGAGAGAGAGCAGGAAGAGAGCAATTATTTGGAGAAAGAGATTGTTATTCTTGCTTTCACAAATTCAAAGAGGCTCTACTGACATGACTAGTTAAATACAGCATGAAAAAAGCACATGGTACAAAGAATTATCAATAGGAAAAGAAATACATTCGAAGGTCTTAACAACAAAACATACATCATAATACTGTAGCTTATATATCCAGGTGTTCAGAATACACAGTCACATTATTGGAACTTATCCTACCAATAAAGTTAAGTCACTAGATTTTAAGGTGAAATTTAGAGAAATGGCTTGCAGTGACTATATACAGATGGCCAGAAGATCTGCAGAAAGAATACTTGCAGACCAGGGCATTTGACAGGAGTGAGACAGACCAGCTTTTGTTCAGTTCAGTGTCTCAAATAACTTCATCCTCTTCCCAAACAAATAAATAAAAGATCTCTGGCTGCATTTTGCTCTAACCAGAAGGACAGCAGTTCCATCCCTGTCTTCCCCATTTCACATGCCTAAGTGTCCTTGGGCAAGATACTGAACCCCAAAAGTTACTCCACTTTAAGAACATGTGTGTGAATAGGTGAATGGCAAAAGCTGTAATGTAAATCGCTTTGAGTGGTCATCAAGACAAGAAAAGATTAAGATTACTCTTTATGGTCCCACACATAGCATGCAACATGCAAACATGGGGAAATTTGACCTCTGTATTTAACCCATCCGTGTGAACGGAGCACACTATATATAAAATACAAACCATTTAAACAGTAATTTCAGACGTAAAAGCATGTGAGGAAGATTTATGAGAGGTCTTCCAGAAGTTATCCCTTG